TATTATAATAGACTCGAAATAAAATTTCTTCTTTTACTTGAAATGGAATGTCTTACAATTTTTGAAATGGAACGTCTTACAATTCTTTTTCTTTTCTTGACTATTTCTGTTGTTCAGTAGATTTTACAAGCCAATATTTTATTATAGACTCTATCATCGCTTCGGAACAACCGTGTATTTTTTGTGTAGCAATTAATATTGCTGACACGTCCGAAGATTTGAAAAGTTACGTTTACCTTTAAATCATATCCAACTATATATCTTAGATAAATCATTCGACATTATTCTTGTCAATACTCGTTTCACCATATATTTGTATGATACTCCTCTAATTTGCATAATTTCTTTGATCTAAATTATAAAATTAATTTATGCAAATTGTAAATAGAATAAAATATGTATTAGTAAATAAATTTGCTTACAAAATTTTTGAAATTATTGTCCTGGATTAAAAATTCTTCTAGCGCCTCCAATTCTTGTACTTTTTTGGTAATTATACATATTAGGGATGACCTTACCGTCCGCATTTGCCCGACCGGTGTTCGTCGGGCGGCGGACTTCCGGCGGATCGGCGGCCGGGTACGGTACAGTAACGATGGGGGAATGCATCGTTACAAGTTATTAACAAAATAAGTTTAACGAATCGCGCGAAATTTTCTGACATTAATATTAAGAATTATACACATACACACAATATATGGCATATGTGTGTATTATAAGATGATAAGGTGGACGGGAGAGGAGCGGAGCCCCTTTTTATTTGACGCGTGAGCAAAGGAGATTTACTAATATGTTTTAATTTATAATATGTGTTTAAGTGTTTGTAATGTAATATAGCGTAATGTAATGCAATAAGTAAATGTAATAAGTGTTTAAGAATCAGAAATAGGTTTGGGTTAGGTTATATCTTCTGGAAGTAGAGCCCCCCCGTAGAGGGGGGGGGGGGCGGAACCCATTGTGTCCACGCATATACTTTACACTGCGAAGCAAGGTCCACCTCACAATTTTTGTGTGGATGGGAAAGTGTATATGTGGACGCAGTGGGTCCCCCCCCGTAGGGGGGGGTCTTCACTTCCGGAAGATATAACCTAATTCAAACCAAATTTTTAATGTAAATAATTACCAAGTTTAGTGTGAGTTACGTTGTATATCTCAAACCAAATTTTCGTTTCGAATCAAACTTTAACTTTAAATATCTTAGAAATTATAAGAGACTGCCGATTTAGTTATAAGAAAAAGTTACTCAGGGTCATGTCCTTGACAACATATGTCAAGGTCAAGGTCATTGGCGAGGTGTCGGTTAATGTAAATAATTGTCATTTTGTGAATGGCATACAGATGTGACTGGGAAATTATTTTTGTTTGTAAGAATCCTAATTTTCTGATGTGCCATTTAAAAACGAGAAATACTTATCTTCATTGAAAATAAAACAAAGTTACAATTTGGAATGGAAAAAATAAATCCGCACAGTAATAGATTCATACTAAAAAAATTAAAAATAAGAAACAGATTTAAACCAACATATATATGTACAATGATATCTCACAGTATTAATATTATGCAAAATTTTCAATAATACGCTGAATTTAATAGTATATCTACAAATTATAGTATAAGAATTTCTTATAACTAACTGCATCGAAATTGTTGTAAGAACATAATTCTAAAATTCAAAAAAATTATACCAAAAAATTTGTGTGAAAATACGATCCTAAAAATTTTTAAAGAAAGTCAATTAAAGATTAGTTTTGCATTATGTAGCAATTTACATACATTTTTTAAATTTTAGATACTAATTAATGACAGAATTTAAAAATTAATAAAACAATTTAAATTATACAAATATGGATATATAGAGAAAATATAGAGAGATAATATGTATACAGGGTGCGGCATTTATAGTGACGCGGGCATATTTTTCGGAAACGAAGTGAGATATCAAAAAATGTTTCAGACAAAAGTTGCATGGTTTCGAGGGGGCCACATGATAAAAATATGGATTTGACCTTAAGTGGTCTTTTCAAAGTGAGGTCAATGTGGTCGATGTTTTCTTAAATGGAACTCCCCATTTTT